ATAGAGTCAGCTGTCATGGTTTAAAGGATATCCATGATGTAGCTGTTCCATTAAAATTTGGATTAAAATCATGTTTAAATTTCATTTCCTCCAGTCCTTATCCTGCTTTTGATTAGTTTTAAGAGCAGTTGATGGTCTTGTGATTTGAAGATTTTGCATTTTAAATTTTGTGTACATGGTCTGGAATTTTATGTGAAATTGTCGGTTTGATCTTTGACCTCTGTTTACTACAGTCCTGATTTGCCACTAATTTGATAGCAAGCCATAAGGGCCTACTGTAAACAAGCTGCTCACTTTACATAGCTATGTTTGGCTCCTAAATGAAGAAGTATGTATGGAATATACTTTGGGTACTGCAGCCTCCTAAAGAAATAATAAAAAACACATCGCTGCTTAGCTCTCCAGGTAACGTTTACATTTGGAGAAAATAAGTTGCATGCCTAATAGAGAGAGAAAATGCAATTCTTATCCATCTTTGGTTTGTTTGTTTTAAATTGTTCTTTAAAGTATTTGAGAGCTCAGGCCGCCTCTTTTGATGTCAGTGGGAACTTTGCCATTGATTTTAAAAAGATCAGGATTAAGCCCAAATTGGTAGATTCTAAAAGGTAAAAATGAAACTGTCCAAAGTCTACAAATCTCTCACTGTTCCATCATCCAGGAAGGAAGGACAAAAGCCTTCTCCAAGGTCTGTAACGTACATCTTGATTCCAGGACTCCTGGTTTTTGTACATTTGTAGACTTCAGGATGGAAAGCAACTTCCAGTCAGGACTGTAATTGATAGCATATGGAGCGGTACATACTTCCACCATGGACTTGTAAAGCTGCTGGGGGAAGGGAGATGAAAGCTGCTTGTACAAATCATCAGACTGTCTGTACAGATCTTCCACAAGTTGTCCTACGCTAACACTCCACAGTATACCCTTGCCTGCAACCCACCCCAGGCAGATTCCCCAGCCCACAGGTTCAGCCTTACACACAGTAACTGACCCAGCAAAAGTCTGCTGGTAGACATTTAGCTCAGAAACACATCTGATCATCCTGCATGATCTTAGCACTTTTTGCACGAATCTGGCACTAGCAATCATGTCCTCTGAGCAGCAGGTCAAAGTAAGGTCTTCACCTTTCTCCTGTATCACCCAGCTGGGACTATCTGTCCCAGCAGTGATCTTCCCATCACCTGGACTCTGTCCTCACAGTGGAGAGCATATGGTGGTAGAAACACCTAGGTACACTAGAGGAAGGACTGTTTTCCTATTTGGCAGAGGAGGAAACCTTTTTCATTTTCTGGGTTAGGGTGTCTTGGTAGCTGTGACAAAGGTCAGTAGTCAAGGATGCGGACTCTTTGCAGCTAAGAATGTGTTTCATCTACAGTGATGAAATATAAGCCCAGAGAAGTGATGGGACATGAGCAAGCAAACATGAACAGCCCTCTTGTTTCCTCTTCAGACACCCAAGTGCCTTGAGTATCTGAAATTAAGTGACCCTGGTGTCAGGTCAAGCTATCCATGGATGACTTCAGGAGGCTAAAGCAACTAGAGGCAGAAAACTACATAATGATCCTGTTGGTTTATGTGGTCCTACTATCAGACAAACCAGAGTTCAGGGAGACACAGGGATCAAGTACCTTCCCAGATAATCTGAACCCGAGGTCAACAAAGCACTCATTGCAGTCTGCAAAGCCCCTTGTGACCCAACAGAAGAACATTATCATGATTGGAGAAAGAGTATTAGATAGAAATACAGCATCAAAGTAAGGGAAACCACGCAATAAAAACCCACAGTACTCTCTTGTGTCTCTATTTTTCAGAAGTAACCCAAGCTGATAACACCTTGATGGGAGCCACTAGAGAAGGTGGATGTCTTTTCCCAGCCTGTGCAACCCCTTCTTTTCTATCCTAAAATGACTGGCAAGAGAACAGGACAAATCAAAGATTGCCATCTCGTAAATGACTCAGTTTCATCATCCTTGAGATTTTCTAGCAATGCAATCAACTTAAGTAGCATCTACTCCATCCTCACCAGTATTACCTCCTGCTGTGTGCTGCCGAGAGGGAGCAAGGTGTTACTCACAGGCATTGTGGTGGCTCAGTCCTGTCCTGATTCTGATGTGGGTCAGTCGCCGCATCCAAATAAAACCCTTACTTCTGTTGCTTTTGCCCAGGCTCAAGAAAAGACTGACCCAGCAATAGCAAGTTAGGTCACCTTTCTGGAGATATTTTCCCTGAGGTATTTCTTGAGTTACCCCAGATTCCCCACAGTACAACAAGGACAATAACCAAAAATACACATGTAGGGAATCATACGTGGTGCATTCTGAAAATGGCCCCAGTGATGTGTCCCTGACTCTGGTGCCAGATCTCTGCTGTGCTGTTTTGTTAATGTATTGTGGTGTCCACTGAAACACCTTATATTTAAATGATTTTGAAATGTCTCTGGTCTATTCTACTGGTGCACCTGGCAGAGGACACCGCTACTTTGAAGGACACTCAAGCAGAGCTTGACTTTGGGCAGAAGCTTCCAGCACAGCTGAGCGCCACTGAAAACTGGAATTAATATTCCCCATCAAAACATCCTGCAGATCCCATCTTCTGCTTCTACTTCATGGGGCGTACCCTCAGAATATTTTAAGTGGCAGTCCCAAGAGCTTCGGTACCTTTTCAGTCACCTCAGCATCAGTTTCTGCCTGAAACCAGCAATGCACATACCGAGTTGTTTTTTTTAATGGAGGGTGGTAACTGAGGAGAAATAGTTTCCAAAATGCTGTTTACCTTCTAAAAAGGGCTGGATTACAATGTAAAGAAAGGTTAAATAACTTTGGACTCTTATACATGCAAGACAATCAGAGATTTTTAATAAATAAAGGATGTCATAAGGGGCCCTGCTGTGTTTAGACAGAGTGGGCTCAGTGTCTGAGTGGCTCACTATCTGGGCTCAGTGTGAAACAGTAATCCATCACTGCTAGATCAACTTGAAAAGCAATTCAACAATGGCTCCACGTAGACAACATTACAGAAAACCTGTTCCAATAGCTTTCTTATGCAAGACAAAACCACAGTCACATTTTTATTTTAGGCAGTGAACCAACAAGAATGAAGCAAAACAACCAGAGCTGTCCTCAAGAGATATTTCGGGCTGCTCCTCTCCTCCCACTCCCCTTACACTCCTTTTCAATCTCTTACCAGTTTGTGCATTTTTGGCAACAGAGAACCATACTGCAGAGGTCACTGGCAGGCTGGTAGGGACTGCTGTGGCTTTTGGCTACCAAAAACATCTTCCCCAGCCTGGCAAAGCATCAACCTCTTTGCTCCCCATTTTGAGCTGGGACAGAGGTGGCTGTAGGTGAAGGAGGCAGGGGAATGGGAGAAGTTTCTTCAGCCCCGCAACCTTTGACAACCAGTTGCTGCTTTTCCTCTTCGCCCCAGGATCTGCTATCCAACAAGTGCAAATTGAGGATGACAAATAAGAACATTAGCCTGGTGTTTCTGCTAAAATGATCTGCCTTGAAGTAGCTGATGTTGACACTTAAATTGTCAGCAGACTTCCAGTTTAGCGCTCCAGTTAGAAGAATGGGTCCATTCACACTTCCCTCTGAGCTATTGTTTCAACTCTCTCTAGACCGGGCAAATATCACTGTAGCAGTTTACACTCCAGTTCCACTTTAAAGGCCTTTTTTGCAACCATAACCCAAATTGCCTGGAAACTTTTTTTTTTATTTTATTTTAAATGTAAGCTTAAACTCCGGAGAATAATTATGCAACGCTGTAAAAATAGTCTGCAGCAATTTACATAGCCATGAAATATTGGAGCTGGTTTTTTCCAGTATACCTATGTATACATGGCTGCAGCTAGCCCCAGTATTTACGGAGGACTCACTGGAGCTTTGATCACAGAAACTGGTATTTCAAGTTAGGCCACACACATGAACAAAACATTTCTTGTTATACGGTGAGGTTTTGTGTTTTGGGGTGTTATATCACCAATTTATTGAAGCACTACCTTGCCACTTCTGTCTTTCCTGTATCACCTGGCTGGATTCAAATAACATTCTTGTGGGTATTGCAGGCATTGGTTATGTAGTCAAGAAGGAGAGTATTAATTTAACCTCAGTTTCTTTCCTGTAATTGTGTGTTCCTTCCATTTTTTAACAAGTTAACCACTCTGAGGGCCTGTGTCCTCATTTCTCTCTCTGCAGCCAACTTTGCTGCTGCTCATTTCTATTACCTATCATATCTCCTTGTCTGCTGGAAGCTCAGTCTCCACCTGCTCTTCTGCATGTTCACTTATCTCTTAATGCATCTTGCTGACGGTAGGACCATCAGTCCCACTGGAGCCAAGCAATCAATCCCACTTCTTCTTGAGAGCAGGAGAAAACTCTGCTGTAGAATAACTGCCCACTGACCTTGTCTGCTCCTCTAATTGTCATGACTTTGGACATTTTCAAGCTCAGCTGACAATGGGATAAAGTAATACAACCCAATACTTCCAAGGTACAGTATGAGCTTTCCGGATTGCAAGCAGTGATCTTGTCCAGAGCCTGAAGATGCAGTGGCTTAATTCTTCCTGTCTGTGCTTCTCTAGAAGCCTATTTCTGTCTCCCATGTAATTCTGCCAAGCTCCCACCTTGCTAACTCCTACTTTCCCTTTTAAGGAGCTTTTTTAGTTGTTGTTTTCCCCAGGACACCATAAATGATCAAATAAAAACTAACAGAATGAATGGATAAAGCCACAGCCAGGGAACAAACCCATCACCTGAAATCTCTGCAAAGAAACTACTCAGGAAACACTTTAAAGTGAATAATACGTGATAGAAGTAAGAATTTATGCAAGTGACTGTATGCATATGGGGACAACTTCCAACTCCTGCAACCTAGCAGAGAGGAATTAATAATTGACCATTAGATTTGGGCACTGATTTGAAGGAGTTAAATTCCCAGGCTGCCTTTTCAGAGCAGGGTGGGGCATTGGGGAAGTCAGAGAGAGGAAAAAAAAAAAAGGCACCTGAATGCCCTGGGAGGGAGCAGCAAAACCATCTGTCAAGCTCCCCTTCCTCTCCTGTGCTACAAATACTCCCCAGCTGAGGGTCTCTTGGTACCCACCAGCAGCTGCAGCCCTTGGCCCCACAAACCTGCGAGCGGAGTGACCCACAGGAGCAGCCTCTCCCACACCAGGAAGTGAGTGCCACGTCCCACTCCTGCTCGCCTGCCCTCACAGCCACCCGGACCCGCTGGTGTGACAGGGCATGGCATGGCCAGCAGCAGGGGCCTGAGGGCAGGGACATGGGCATCCTCCCCGTTTCGGAGTGGGCATCCTGGAACGCATCCTTTGGGGGTCCGGGCACTGGGAGCGGGCCCCTCTCCAGCCCCTGGTACAGCACACACAAGGTAAGTGCCTGCCGTGCAGAACCATGCTGGGGTCCAGCAAGAAGTGGCTCTGGGAGAGCAGGATTAATTATTTCAGCCTCTCCCCCTAGTCCTCCAAAGAGCCCCCTTCCAGCGCCTGTTTGCTGCTGACACCTGCTCCCTCGTCACCCTGTTGTTCAGCCCTCACTGCCCTGGCTTCCCCCTCCACCCGGTCCTTTCTGAGTAGGAGCTGGGCAGAGCCCTGTGCTGTTCTGCTCTGGAGCATCGCTGGTTTTTGTCATCCGTGTTTCTGTTGCTGTCAGTGCTGACAATGGATTTGGGCAACTGCAAACGAGGGACTGAGGCGGCCCCTGAGAACTAGCAAGTTGAAGCATCTGCTAACAATAAAAGTAAATTGGAGGTTGATTAAACCCTTTACCTTTTCCCTGCTTTTTGCTTCACAAGCTAGGAGGCATGGGAGGAAACTCAACATTCTTGTTTTTCGCTGCATAGGAGGCAAGTTACTTTTTTACGATGCAAGGTATTGGTATAAATTGTGCATAAAATAGCTTGCAACTAACTGCCCTCCTTTCTCTGCGAGCAGCCCAGTAGCAGGTCCTAGCCTGGGGAAGGTCCCAAAACCTTTCCCCTCTCAATTCTGCATTTGCTACTGGGTGGATATCCAGATGGCAGGAGGCATTTCTCAGCTCCGTGTTCCTGGAGGGAAGGAAACCTGTGAATTCCTGTGCTCAGGTCCCAGGAGCAGCAGGACTCCTGGCTTGATGGTTGGTTGTGGTGGTTTCCAGGAGTGGACTCCTGGCTTGATGGCTGTTTGTGGTGGTTTCCAGGACCAGAGCTGGAATCTCTTATGGGAGACAAGAGTGAGGAGCCAGGGGTTACTGTGGGTTTGGGAGTTAGGGCCCTGGGGCTGGGAGTGCTTGCAGAGGGGCTGGGGGAAGGCAGAAAGAGGGAAGTCCCTTGGCATGGTGACACCCACCTGCACCTCATGGTGGGTTTTTTGGTTTGCTTGCAAAACATCCCAGCCCTGCTCTTGTACTTCTTTGGTTGGTTGTGTGAGGATTTCTGTGTTTTAAGGCTAGTAGTTTTCTGAGAAGACCTGAATAATTTTTCAGTGTTGCTTGGGTGTCAGTGGGCAAGACTGGTTTTCTCAGCTTCTGTCTACTTGTGGAGTTGCAGCTTTGGAGCGGGTAATGGGTAACTCTGGTTTGTGAGTTGCTGCCAACCTTCATTTTCCCAAGAGGTAAATTCTTCTGTGCACCCCCATTTTCACATTTTACATTTTTTTAAATATCAGAAAGCATTTTCTCTCTCTGTTCCCGGCAAATGGGCAGTCCTGGCTGTGATTTAGTGGTCAGCACAGTTTCAGGACTTGATGTAGGGGCTTTTTCCTCTTCCCTTTTTCTTGAGGCCATTTCATCCTCTCTGTTAGGTTTCAAAGACAAGCTCGCTCTTTTTTACCTCTACAAGGGACTAGAACTGCATCAGATCTCATCTGCCTGGAAACAACCCCAGAAAGCTGAGCTGAATTGCTTTTGGGGAATTCTTTTTCAGCCTCCTTAGCCTCACAGACCCTCAGGAGGTGAAAGAATGAGATCCCCTTCCAAGAGCCCCTAAACATGAGGGGCTTGGCTAGGCTGCTGGTCACAGCTGCCTCAGTGCCACGTGGGCATCAGAGCCCTCCACATGGGATCAGTGGCTCTGACACACGCATTAGGGAAATCCATGGCACTCGAGTAAGCACTAAATGACATCTGTAAACATGCAGTTCTCTGGAAGAAGTTAAAGTGCCTGTGTCTAAGTGGCTGTGCAGTATAATGCCTCCTTGTGCTGGCATTACATTTCCTTGTTTTTTATTTAAATTGGAATTATTCTCCTGCCAGGTGCCTGATTGGGCTAATTGGCGCTAGCTGTTGGCGTGAGGGCAGCAGGGGGAATGCACGGTGGTGGGGAAAAAAAGGATGGAGGTAGGACTTCTCCTTGGCATCCTTGGCGTGGATGTAGCTTGGAGGATGCTGCTGGAGGAACTGCGCCTCTGAAATCAGCAGCAGAGGATCCCGTGCTCCTGCAGCTGTCTCAGCCCTTGCGTGTCAGGGGACATGGGTGTGTTTAACGGTGCAGTAAAACCTGATGAAATATGTACTTAGTTACCTGAAGAATTTCCTGACAAACTAAAATTATTGTAGTATTTTTGCATCTGCTGGAACAAGGAACATAAGAAGCCACCACATGTGGCTTTGGTCTGCCTAATGGGAAGTGTATGTAATTGCTTCAGTTTAATCCTTTTTTATTTCCCTCAGCGCTTCTCAAAGTTTGTTTATTTATTTCCAATGTTGTTGTTTATGGACAGAAATATTTTGCAAGATTAGTTGAGATTATTAACTGCAGTATTGATCTTGGTTTGACTTTGTCTCCCAGCTCTTTTCTCCTTCTCTGATACAGTCAATGAAGGCTGGGATGTGATACTTCTTCTGTAACTCGGTAGCTCACATGGCTGTTGTGTGTAGTCACGGTGTGTAGCTGTGCAAGCGCAGAAGCTGAGCTGGAGATGGGAATTCATTTCACTTCTGCTTCTTTTTCCTCCTTTGCCTGTCTCTTAATAAACTTGGAGTTATTACTGGCTGCCCAGACACTCACCTCCAGAGATTGTTTTATTTCGTGGGTTGTGGTAATAAATCATTTCGGCTCTATATTTGAGGTTTAAAATGTTGACAGCTCCTTCAGATGGATCCGTGGCCTCTTGTCCCGTGACAATATATCACAGCCTGTCACAGGCCATACGTGCAGGTGGCAAGTATGTGCAGCCAGGAAACCTGATCCTTGGTGTGGTCTAACCAGCGGCAAGCGGTGGCCGCTGTCAGGTGGGATGAGAAAGCCCAGGGATTAAACGCATCATTGTGAGGTCTTTCTGCACTGCCTTTTATATTGAATATATGAAATCTAGATTTTGTGTGAAATGCCACAGTTTTTGTTTTTAGCTCATTCTGTTCAAGGAGAAAGCCCTCAGTGCTTCAACTCACCCTGCCTTGCTAAAGGCTTGATGTCTCGTGACCGAACCTCAGCAAGGTGCGGGCATGGTTCAGTCCAGGGGCAGCACGGTCCCTGCTGGTACTTCTGCCACCGTGGGAGCTGCTGCCCCTGTGCTGTGTGAGACCCCGTGCAGGAGGGCAGAGAGCTGCCACCGTGGAGAGGAAGATTATTTCTCCATGTCCCTCAGCTGAGGAAGCACCCCAGAAACAGTGAGGTCCTCTTCAGCTGGCACTGCCACTAGAGAAAAGAGTTCTCATGGCACATCCTACAAACATTCACCAGGATATTTTAAGCACTTAAACAATGAAATCTCCAACCACGGTTTTCAATCAGGGAAAGCTCTAGAGCAAGCCAAGGTGTCCATGGGAGTGCAGGTGGGAACCAAAAGAGCAGCATGGCCACAGCACACACAGGTTTCAACCAGAGCAGCTTTCTTCTGCAAGAGGCAACCACCAGATATTACCAAACTTCTAAAGGTGAAGGCAAACCTTCCTGTTTTTTTTCCACTTGAAGTGTTTTGTAGGGTTTTTTTTAATGCCGTTTTCTCAGTCTCTGTAGGGTACCTCATGCTGCAGTCTGCTCCCCTATGGACTGTTTCAGCTTAATCAGTAAAGTGGTCCCCAAGCACGGGGACAGCAGAGACAAGCACATCCTTGCCCAGTGCTCTGCTGCTGTACTCATCTGTGAAGACGATGGTGAAAAGTTTTTCCTCTTTCCCCCCAGCTCCTCCTTCCAAAATTGTTTGCTGCAATCAAATCACTGACTATTTCATTGTGCTGTTCTTTACCCGTCAGATTTGAGAGTTCACAATTTGAGTGCCCTTTATCTTCTGGGGGAATGTGTATGGGAGAACATGCGTACCACTTTCTTAGGTGGGAAATGTGTGTTATTTTCAGCCCTTATAAATCAAGTTAGGAAGAGGACTTTGTTCAGCCTTTCAAATGCACTTTGTTTGAATCGGTCATAGGAAATCCAAAAGTCAAAGCTTATAATGAAGCAGCACTGCAAACAGTTGCTGCCAGCACTGATGCGTGTTCTTCTGGTGGTGCTTTGCTGTTGGGAATCCAGCAGCATTTCCGTGGCTTAGACCCTATTTAATTAAGTTCTGCTAGAAAAGGATGTGTGTCTTTGGGATATAAATGCAGGACTCTCAGCTGAGCCATCTTTGCACCCAAGTTTTCAGGCTCTGCCAGAGCTGTAGGTCTGATCTGCTGGGGGTTGTGCTCTGATTAGTGTTAGTGTGAATGAGAAGCTGACATGAGAAAGCAAAACAGAGCACTAGTCAGAAAGGATCACCCATATCTTTTTTACAACCTCATACATCCATTCTGCCTTGCCAAACATCGACTGTCCCTGCAGATGTAAAGATGTCTGGTGTGAAATGAGCACACGATTTATATAAACTGCAGCTTCCAGGTTAAAGAAAGATCAGCAGCTGCATGGGAACTCACTAATTAGTTGAAGGTAGGGATTATAAGTACAGGGGAGCCTTACCCCTTGCCTGTCTCCTCGCACAGTACCATAAGCATGTTTATATCACTGTGACTCTCAAATTCCTTAGGGAAATGTAGCAGTCACTGCAAGCAGAGTGGGAGTGAGCCGTGGAGCTCTTTATACCTCTGAATATAGAAGGGGCAGGGGATGAGACAGCAGGTCTGGAACAAATGCCTTGGGTGGGAGAGTAGTCCAAAGACTGGAGTTAGCATGCAGCTTTCTGAGCCAGCCTGAGGAGTGACCTGCTTGTCTGGTTTCCACCAGGCACTACTCTAGGTCCCAGAACAGCCTAATTTCCTAGTGCTGTGTTATTGGCAGGTCTCTATGACCCTGCTTGGGTTTCTCCTACCAAGGCTGGAAGGAGTCAGGTGGCTGTGGCAGTTTTGCCCCAGTGCCCAGCATGGTGCTGGGCAGCAGATACAGCAAACCAACTTGGCTCAGCATTTCGAGTTTGGGGCTCACAGTCCCAAAGCAAACCTATTGATGGGAGAGCTCATCCT